TAGGCAGATACTAAGGCGTGGAAGATGTGATGGAAAAGACAGAAATCCTATTCAAGTTAATCCTGAACTTTCTAAAGCAGCTGTTATTCAAGACCTGCCTATATGAGCAAATTATCATAAAATAGCACGTTTTCTACTCTGATGAAAGCATGTATATACAAACAGCTGTATGGAATAAGTACAGCACCCTCATCCTAATTTAAATCCTGTTAATTCACTCTGTAGCTGTGTCCTTAAGCACATCACTAACCTCACTGCAATTCCCCTAGGTGACAGAATAGCCAGATTGGCTGTTATTCTCTACCAGATTTAGCTTCCTTTTGGAGAAAGGATGAGTTTAATAAACAACAAAAATTCTTCATGCCACATGGTACTGTCCAAAAGACACAGAACAAAACTCCAACACTTCTATTTCAATCTTTGAACCAGCAAAACAGGAAGGATTTTACAAATTGTTAAACCATATGAAGCACTTACCGTCCTGAAGAAACTTGTTTAAGTGAACCAGCACTTTCAAACAACTGAGCTCTTGCAGCCACTCTGAAAATAAAAGCACCACCTTACTTTACACTTTACCCATTAATTAAATACACAGACTAGTTTCACTTTTAACCATCCAAAGACATGGAAATTAAAAAGCTAAATTCAGCAGAATTCTTAAGGGCATAACCTAATTGGGGCCACTGACTTCCACATGCTCTAGTGCCTTGCTGAGTCAGCAAGGGAAAACTTAACAACCTATATTTAAAATTATATTCATGGATGGCCAGTAGATATATTGGAAATGCTTTTACTGCCAGTCTGTCACTACCATGCTGGAACTCTGAGCTGTGCAGGATTAAGTAAGACACAGCAGTCTGCAAAATGACTACTGTGATCCCTTCCAGTTTAAAAAGTAGGGAGGCTGAATGGAGTCCCTGCAGTATTTGGAGAACTTCTTGGTGCTTTGTAGATCTGGAAATCACTTGTTCATGGGGACAGAGAAATTCTGGTCCAAGTCAGGACTACAGCAAAGATCTTCTGCCTCTTAAATCTGTTCTAAAAGCGCTGAGAAACACTGGTAACCCAAAGCTCAACAGGCTAAATTATAACCTCTATTGCTTAGAACTAACCTCCTCTCAACCTAAAAAAAACCCCAAAACCTAACTGTTAGAAATCAACTATTTAACAGGCAGCAAACAAAGGAATTTCAGAGCAGAAATTCCTTCAAATTTGGACTTACAGAAATAAAATCTGATGATCTTCTTGACATAACAGCATGGACAGTAAGTAGCATTTATGCTCCTTGAAACATTAAATTCCAGAAGAACCAGAAATAATAATACTAATCACTTTCCAAAGTTATGTTTCTTCATTATAGACCTTATCTGTAGTCTAATGAAGTCTTTCAACAGACTGTGTGCTGTGTCTCCTTTGTTTGCAATTTTAATGAAGCTAGCTAAATAATTCACAAATATTAAAATCAAGTATTCATGGATGCTTTTTCAACTTCTTATGTACCTCTCTGAGACCACTTTACAGTAGACAATACTCTAACAACACAAATCTCCAAAGGGCCTTGATGACTTACACAGATCCTGGTCTTTGATAGCCATTACTCGATGCAGTATCTAATCTTAATCTCCTGCACATTTTAGGAGGCAAATCAGGGTTTGGTGGAGCCTTTGGTGTATCTTTGGTATCTGTTGAAGATAAGCTTTGTATAGATCCAGTGCAGCTTTTGTTACCTAAAGAAAACAACCAAATTATAAAGAATATTAAAGCTAATTTGAAGTTGTTTCATAACATGTGTAACAAGCAAAGCAAATATTTTGGTTTTGCTTTGTTTCGTTTGTTGTTTTTTTGTGGTTTTTTGTTTTGTTTTTTTTTTCAAAGAGGCAAAATAGGTAGAGAAACTACTTACTAAGAGAGAGAAGAAACAGCCTTTAAGGCAGAAAGCCAGGAGAAAAAGAACAGCAACAGAATGAAAAAATTATATTAAAATTGTGAAGGCTAAAAAATTACAATTAAAAAATTCACAAATAAAAATAAAAAATTAAATGGCTAGATTCACTAAAAAGCGACAATAAAAACAACATTTCTAAAGTAGTACACAACACAGATTTGTAGAAAAGTTTCATGGTGGAAGGGATCTCAAATTGGGCAGAGGGATTGTCTAAATTCTTGCTCAAAGTAGCATCCACTACGAAATCAGACCACGTTACTTTGTAAGAATTAGTATTTCGATATCCACAGAAGCTTCATGCAGTTTCAAAAAAAATACTTAGGAATTAATGATCATGATTTGCCTAAAATAATTGCTACAGTAACTTGATAAAACAAATCTATAGCTGTACAGACTGTATTGCACACGAAAAAGTCTTTTTAATGAACACAAGGCATGGCCCCATGTGTCCTTTAAGCTGACCTATCTGTGGACTGCTGCCTTGTTTCCATATACATTGTTCAAGACAAGAACTGCATCTACTTCTGTGTCTCTTTATGCCCAAGAACAACCGATGCCTAATAATGATTTAAAAGCTGTCATAATATAAAGAGATCCCAAAATATAAAACCAATATCTATATTATGAATATTGCTATTATATAGAATTAGTCTATATTATAAATTATTGTTAATGATAATTATTATTTTACATTGTTAATACTGTTAATATAACACTATAATTCATATCTGGAAGTCTCAGGAAAAAGCTTGTACACTCCATGGGGGGCCGAGAGGAGAGAACTTCCTTAAACTTTTAGGGCTTTGCACATAACCACATATTTAGCCTACCTTTACTTGTATTACTTATACTATTGACAGCTCAGTGGCAAACTCAGCACTCACACTCAGTCCACTGGAGCTCATTGTTTCAGCGCTGACTGTCAATCTTCATAATCCAAAACACTGCAAATATACCGATTTCGAGAAGGTGTTTCTTCTAAAGTAATTTCCACATAGCTGTCAATATAGTGCAATATCACCTCATGTACTCACAGAGGTACAGCAAGGGTTCCCAGGCATTCCAGCTAACTTAGCATTTAGCAGAACTGTCTAAATTAAGAAGCTACATTTTTAAGCTTCTCTGTCTTGTAAGGAGCCTTGTCTACAAGCTTATTTGGGTCATAGGCTCAGCTTGGGTGCTCTGAGGGTGTTCTTTGAAGCAGCATCCTTCTTTGGCTGAACAGGAAGACTGGCGCCCTAACTTGTCCACTGAAATTGGATTCCTAAAGTTGGGTTTGCAAACTTGTGGTTGTTCTTGCACATCATGTCCATATACAGGACCATTCAGCCATAATCTTGTGTTCAATTTAATCTACTTGCTGTACTGGATAAGCGACCACGCAAGTAGGGCAGAATGAAGCAGCCATCCCATCAGCAGGGTTTCAGACACACATTTCATGCCAGGGATTACCCTTTTACCCCATCTGGCCAGTGCTATCTCAACTAAACGCATGGATGGTAAAAATCATAACTAAAAAAAAAAAAGAAAACCAGAACAAACCACCTTTCCTTCATCTCCTATTTCAACCAATTGAAGAGATGCCATTGTCAAAACAAAACAACACAGAACAAAACAAAAAAGCAGGCACACCGACAAGTAGTGACAAAACTGTTATTTACTAGATATATCAAGCTTAGTGCTTTTTAAATTTAAATGCTAGCTTTGATCAGTATCAATCACGTTGCACGGATTCATTCCTTTGACACATAGTGATAAACCATAGCTACCAACTCTTCTTATAAACCATCAATCTCCTTACAAGGCAGTGGTCTAGATGAGGCTAGCAGGATCGAGAGTACTCTAAATTCCGAGAAACACTGATATCTTTTAAACTGTATGAACTGTACAGGTAACAAACCATGTTTGTTATGTCAGAAGAAATATGTCAGAAGCAGTTTGAAAGCTGAAAGAACATACCACAAAAATTAAAAAAGAAAGAAAAAAAGATTAACGAGTATCATTAGCTTTCGGATGCAGCTCTTGTTTTCTAATGTGTCACAGTAAACACTGATGTCCTAAAAGACCTTGGAAATTACCTTCAGCTGATGGGTTTGATCTAAGGGAAGATGCTGAAGACCTTTTCAGTCCAGACAGACTGTAAGAACTCTTTTTGGTCAGGTCTGTTGGTGGAGAGGCATTCTCTGGTCCAGTGACAGAAGCTACACTTTGGCAGTCTGACTCCACATCTGTTTTGGTTGCATCCTCCTTTGATGAGGATTCTGGACTTGTAGTCCAGAGGCCTGAACTCTTCTGGCCATTAGAAGAAGGGGGAGAGGCAATCCATGGAATCCCTCCCGATTTCTCCCTGGGTTGTGTAGGCGCACATTTGGTGGTGCTGTTCTGCTCAGAGGAGTGAGAAGAGAGAGATTCAATGCTGCCCATGGGAGTGCTGTCTGGGCTACTGCTGTATGAGTCACCTGGCGAGGAGTGAGGGGAGGGGAGAGAGGGAAAAAAAGAATAATTACATTTTCTAATCATGTGCATTTCTCTCATGAACCTTTAGCCCCTTGTACCTTACTTGTCATCAAATTCATTAATTTGTGGTTTCAGAGGCAATGATTCTTAAGATAAAAATATCTATTTTGTTACTCTAAGTTTCACACCTATTCCTATCTTTAACCTGGAAAGCTGCCTTTTGTGGCTATTTCTTTAGAGCTGATGAACATAACGTGCTACAGGCTAAACTATTTCAGATAGAAGTTTGCATTTTAAAAGGATTATTTAATCGTTAGAAAATTCAACAGTTACGATGTTGCAATATCTTTGTGGTGAGTATCTTGCTGGATTTCCATGATAAGGCAAATGTGGACCTTGTCAGACTTCTGTTCTTAAATGCATGACTCTATTGCCAGCAGTCACAAGAATTAAGTTTTACTTCAGTGCCAAGCTGCTGAGGATCTCTGCAGTCTCTGTAAGACTAGTCCATAAATCTATCTATAGATTTCCTATTTTCTGAGTAATACTATCTTTCATGAAATAGTTGTCCTGCAGAAGGACAACTTATTCCTTTATTTACAACTTGAATGTTGAACATTTGATGAATTTCTTCAATTAGATTGATTAAAGAAATTTACTTACTTACATAAAAATCTTTATACTGATCTTGTTTCCAATAATCTTTTGGGAAAAAAAAAAAAAAAAAAAAGTAGGACTATCCTAAAGAAATTCACTGGTGATATAAAGGTAGGAACACTCATCAGAACTAAGCAAGGACTGCCCTACAACACAGTGAGGGCTGAATTATTTTGAAGACTGGATTCAGTGTACTGAGTTGGTTTCTAGTAGGATTTTCCCCCCAAAACTAGAAGATATAATTCACAAATTTCACAAGAAGCAGAGAATGTATATTCTTCAACCACACAGTATTTACAAGATATCAACATGATACAGCTGCTTTTGCCTCCAAATGTTTCAATATCCTTGACAACAAGTGACCATAACCACACACAATACTACAGATAAGGCCACAAATACCAGTAATACCTTGCATAGTGTGTGGATCTGACAACAGTAGCGCCACTGGTACAGTAGTGTGAAATGTTCTGTCCACTTCTGGCTAGGATTCTGGTATTCCAGATTAGATCATCCCATACCTCGCCCCTTTAGAGACCATTAGTCCCTTGAAAATTGCAAAACTGTCTGAAGCATAAATTTGTTCGATGCATTTTCTCCAATTTTCTATCATTCCCTACCATTTGAAACGTCTATCTCATTTTCTCATGCCATACAGAATTCCTTAATTTCCTGTAACAGTGTCCACTCTTCATTTAAATGATAACTTAAAACCATCTAGTACTTCAGAAACTGCCGTTGCCAGAAGCCAAGGCACTCTCTTGCCTGTCTCTGGCCACACCTAGAGATATTTGGCAAGGAGAATACCTCTGCTTCTGCCTCAGCCTTCCAGGCACAAGCAAGATCCTAACTGGACTTGCTTACACAAGTGCTGAGCTTGAGCTAATAAGCAAAGCATAAGTGGAGAGCTCTTGGGTCAGACCTAGCTCCACACAAGCTGCCAGAACAAGCCGTGTGTCTGAATGGAGAAGTGTGAGCTTGCATACGCTCTGAAAAATACTTGCACAGAAATGCCCCTTTTTTTATGCTGGCATTCATTCATTGCAGTTGCACAGCAAAAAACAGTTGAAACTTGCCCAGTTTGTCCTCTGCTGAATGTAACCGACATTTCCTCTGTAACTTTTTATTTGGGATCCCATGCCATTCACACTGGCAATTGATGTGTAGGCAGCTATTGCTCTTATTCAGTATTTAAACTCTCACTGGCAGGAATCATGTAACACAAACCTATGGAAAATGCAGCACCTGTGCAAGAGTATACTTAGGATACATTTCCTACCACTGCAGACTGAAGAATTACTACAGATCCTCAAGGACAGATGCACCTTAACTGTGGATTAATTTACCGTACCAGTTTCATGTAAATTTCCTTGGGGAACCAAGGGACACAGAAGTCCTTTGGAAGTCTGTTGCAGTAGTGGAACTATTAACAACTTAACCTTTGCTAAAGTTTCAATACTTCTTACTGGTACAGCCAGTAGGTAAAAACCTGATGGCCCACTAGATGAAAATGAAACTTTTTAATACTCACATCTACATGAAAACGAATAAGCATTCTAAGCAGAAATTAATTATAAACAACTCCCTGCTGTTAAACAGTAAGCCATAGACAAATACACTGTTTCTCCCCAAAATATTAGTTTGTTTCTATTCCAGAAAAACTAACAAAGTTTCGGTGGTTTTGGCAACCTAGGCAGTGGCTGACTTTGAACGAATGACCACAGTTTCACGTGTGTGCAAAAAGCCAAGTAAACGGTTTTGATCTCCTGATCTTGACTGAATTACATTTATTACAGGAGGGGAGGAAAGATTCTATTTACAGTTTCCCAACCCTACTAATCCTCTTACAAGCAAATGAGATGAACCTCTGTGTTTCAAAGCAGACTGTCTTTAGAATATAAAGTCTACTCTAAATGACTTTTGAACACTGTATGCCATACAAGACTTGCCTAAAACCAAACATACTTCCTCATCTGAGAGCAGCAAGGAATGCAGTCATGCAACAGTGCAGCTGTGACTCACAGAGGTTAAAAAGCTGATGAAACCCCATCTGTTATAATTACTGGAATACAATACCTATTGGATATTATTCAGGAAAGTTAAAAGATAAGACATAAAAAGGAAGATAACCAGTCAACAAGGACAAACTTACTGTCAGGATCTGCTAGACATGGTGTATATCTTCCTTTGGGTTTACGTGAACCTGTGGAGAGACAAATTGCTCTTGTCCTTCTTGAACCTGATCGGGACTGAGGTTGGGGAAGAGGAATATTGGGGTCTGGTGCAGTGTGAAATATCTGCATGATTAAAAAAAGAAAAAGGGAAAAAATGATGTAACAATAAAGGTACTCTTACACTTCTATTATTAATCCATTTGTTTTTCTCACCACTGCACCTGAAAGTAATCCTTTAATAGTCTCACACATTACAAAAGAGTAAATTCACAGAATTTACGCTTTGCTTTGATCTCATTTTACAATCCAAGAACCACAATACTGAGCTGTACTTAAAATTTATACTAATTATATAAAAATATTTGTAAATAGTTTTGTTTTCTAGCCCTTGTTAAGTGCTTAACAATCTAAACTGTAAAACATATAATAGGTGCTTATGACTAAATCCTGCCCAAGAATATATTTTTAAAAACATTATGAAACTATTGAATTTTTTCTCTTGTTCCTATAAAAGCTTTTGTATGTCATAGAAATATGTCATAGTCATAACTTATAAAATACAGTTGGTATTTCAGAAAATAACTTTATTTTGCCAAACAAGTCACATTTGATGAGGAACATCTTTAAGTTTGGAGCATCTCCTGGTTTTTATCTTTTACATACCACTGGTGTAACTGCTCAATTTTGCACTTCATTGCTGCAGAAAAACTCAAATTTTTACGGGTATCTGACTACTGCAATCTGACACATACACATGAGGTTTTAAAGAACCTGCTAATAAGTTTGGCAAGCCTGCCAGCAAGGAGAATGCAGAAGGTCCAGTAACTTGGTTGACTTTCATTTGTATCACCTGTTCTGCAATATCCAAGACACATGCAGCAGAGGTCTTGAAAGACCCTAAAAACCTCCTTGGATACTTCCAGTAAAAATGATAATTGCCTTGGAGAATGACTGAAGCAAAAATACAACCAAAACATTTGCAGGGTTTATTTCCAGATTTTCATTCTCACTTATTCTACCTAGTGTAGACTGTAAACTCGGCTGAGAATCTCTTATGGCATTCTGTGGAAGGAAGTGGAATTAGTTCTGTGGAATGGAGAAGAGGTTTCAGAGAGAAAGATTGCCTGAGTAAGTACTGAAGGAATAAGAAGTGTCCAATTTCCATAGGGTCAAGTGTTGTAGGTTAAACACCATGCAATGCCAAAATACATCTCTGCAAGGATTTCTGGACCCTCCATCACTAGGGCATTCCCAGAAGAGGATGAAGTGAGCAATGAAAAGATACCTCCATGCCACTCACAGAAGTGGAAGAAAGCAAATATAATCCACAGTAGAAAATACTTTAATGGACATCTTGAGATAGTCTTGAAGTACAAAGAACAACTGGTTGGGGAACTGAAGGCTGGGAGCAGTCTTGGCTGCAGTGACCATAAGATGGTGGAGTTCAGGATCCTGCGTGGAAGAAGTAGGACTGCAACTCTGGACTTCAGGAGAGATACTTTGGCCTCTTCAAAGACCTACTTGGAGGAATCCCATGGGTTAGGATTCTAGAAGGTAGTGGGGGGGTCCAAGAGAGCTGGTTACTATTCAAGCACCACTTCCTCCAAGCTCAAGATTGGTGCATTCCAAGGAGGAAAAAAATGAAGCAAAAGAGGCAGGAAAACTGATTGGATGAGCAAGGAACTTTGGAAAAACTCAAAGGGAAAAAGGAAGTTTACAGCATGTGGAAAGACCACTTGGGAGGAATATAGGAACGTTGTCAGAGTATGCAGGGATGCAACAAGGAAGGCTAAGGCTCACTTGAAATTAAATCTGGCAAGGGAGGTCAAGGACAACAAGAAAGGTTTCTTCAAACACATCAGTAGCACAAGGAAGACCAGGGAAAATGTGGGCCCCCTGCTGAATGAGGTGCATGCTCTGGTGACGGAAGATACGGAGAAGGCAGAGTTACTGAGTGCCGCCTTCTCCTCAGTCTTTACTGCTAAGGCTGGTCCTCAGGAATCCCAGA